GATGTGCCCCCTCTGGGTGGGCTCCAGCCCCCTCTCATTGGGGTGTCTTCTCCCCTCCCCGGCCTCTAGTCCTTCCCCCTGATGACTTAGCAAGCAGCCGGCGAGGAGACGACGGACCTGATGGGCCGGACAGGAGACTGGCAGTTAAAAAAAATCCCAGAGGGTGAGGAGGGTGGCGTGTGTGTGTGTCATGTGAAAGGGTCCTAACTCCCCTCTTACCCCCCGAAAATCCTTAGAGGATCTAGGTCTGTTTCTCCTCCTTGTTCCCTTTGAGATTCGGTAGGAGATGGCCCGGATCTTCAGAATCAGCTGCGGCACTAACAACAAAACCAGGGTTGCTAATAGGAGAGGGCTAGCCTTTCTTTATTTTGAATCCGTTTCCCACCCGCCCTTATCTCCCTGCAGTGATTCAGTAAGTGGGGGGAGGAGAACATTGTTAGGAGGTGGGTCAGACCTTCAGAATCAGCTGCTGCAGAAATGGGGGAGGGAGATCTAACCTCTCTCCTTTTGGGGTGTGTGTGTCAAACCCATGCCTAGTACTTGGCATTCAAATGTTTTTTTAAGGACAAAAATAGGTGGCTGGGAGAGAGGATGGAGATCTAAGTAGGAATGTTTCTTGCGGCTGATGGGCAGGATGGAGTTTATAGTCAAACAGATTTTGGGGGCGGGGGGGGGAATGTAGGGGGGAAGGAGGTTGGCCGTGATGTCTTTTCCCTTCATATAAAGTTGGTATGGCTCAGTTTTGTGGGTGTGAAATTTGTGTGGAGGGTGAAGGAGATAGCATACTTGGCCTTTGATACAACAATAATGTGCTTTTCCATAGTAGCTGTGGTAAAATTTCTCTGCTGATAATGCTGCAGTAGGGCTTGGTTGTTGCAGGTCAAATCAATTCATAATGAATTACCTAACCAGGATGGTGGTAGGTTACTGAAGCTATATTAAAAGCCTTCATTGAACGGTTTGACTGCAAAATAATCGTAGGTGATGTGTTTAGGTTTATTAATCTGATTCAATAATCAGTGAGGTGTGTGGGGGTTCTTCAGGGTGCTTATGGCAAAATGTTACTTGTACATCTTAGTTTCATGAGGTAAGGAGAATAATCTTGTGTTCACGATTTATCATTTATGAAACGATTGTGCAGCATTCAAACTGGCAGTCAGAAGAGGGAGGGTCTCCTACCAAAATGTATCATTTGCCTTTAAAGTGGCTCTGGAAAACAGGAAAATATCTTGAGGAGCTAAACAAAGAAAATATATATTAAGCAAAAGGTTTTGTTGTCGATATCTAGTTTGTTTTCAGGGCTATTGTTTTTGTGTGTTCTTTTGATTTGACCATGTTTATGGATGCTGCGTGCAGCCATTGAGCAGAGAAGAGACTGGGTGGAGTAAGGAGGCAGAAGCTGCGAAATGGCTAGATTACCCTTTCATAGCATTTTTTTTCTTTGCTTGCGTTTTGCTGGGGTGGGGGAATGCTAATTGCTGTAACAATGAAGTCTCTTCTTTAGGGAAGAGTCAGTGGTGCAGCAACCTTCTGAAATGAAACGTATCTAGTATTCTGTTTTGTGGTTTATTTTTCTGCAGGGTGGATATTGATTTGTCTGGCAGTAAAAAGTGACCAGTCACTGTTGCAAAGCAAGGATTATTGTCTGATTATCGTTTTCATATGTTGACTTTGATTTTTTCCGTTGTTGACTTAATTTCATTTCAGTATAAATCTGAAGATTATTATAATATTTAAGGGAGATTGTTTATGCAGAAGGTGAACCTAAATAATTCTGAATTAATATTGTGGTTCGGTGCTCTGTTCATTCATGTAACTC